ATTTAGCAGCAAATGCCATGAATTTGTAGAAAAACTTGGGGATGTTATGTTAAATGCTAATAATTTTTTTTTTAAACCTATTGCCAATAAAACCAAATCATGGGCAAATGAGAAACGGCTAGTAACAGTCTTCAGCTGACAAAATTGCTAATTAAAATTAATTAGTTAAAACTTTCGTGATGTATTTGTCAAGTGGCATTAACATAACAGTTCTTAGTAACTCACGTGAGTGATTTGTGTGAAAAACATTTTTCTTGAAAGAACTGACACTTGATCAGCTGCTACACAGTATGGAAGCAGAGGACTGCAGCAAGGCTCCTGTGCTGCTGAAGGAAGACAGACAGACACCGTCTAAAGTACATCTGATAGAGGAAATTACCAGTACTGAAATGCCAGAGAAGCCAAGTACCCCTGTCTATGAAATGATCACTGTGAAGGATGCAAACAAGAGACCACTCAAAATTGAACTCAAAATTGAATTGCCTAAGGTTAGCTCTGTTTCCGAGTGTGATCTGAGAATTTCAAAGGTAAGATAGCAGAAAGAATAAGCTTGTGTTTTCTCTTTAGTATCCACTTCCTAGAAATGCTTACTGCTAATTCATTGTGAAATAGTTCCTCAAGTATTTTAATTTTCTTGGTCTAGGATGACATAATCATTGAAGTCCCTGAAAAATACAAGTTACAACTAGATCTGCCAGAATTGGTGGATGAAGAAACAACTACAGCAGTATTTAACAGAGGAAAACGGGTATTATTTATCACAGTGCCAGTTGCCAAGCTGGATCCTTGAAGACTGCATTCTGTCCAGTTCATGTTCACAGATGACAGAACACAAAAAAAAAAAAGCTCACAATGAGAATCCTAGTGTTTAGGTGGTGAAGAGGTTTTCTTATTGACCTTCTAATCTTCAGGGGTCGACACCTCAAATGCCTTTAGAAGATGCATGTAGAAAAGGAAGTCTGGAATAATACTAGCACGACTAAGCTTAGGGAAAAAATAAGTGAAGATTGTAAATATTCAAGGAGTACTTGAATATGTTAACAGCTGTAAAGGACCATAAATGCACACATGCTTCACTACATTATTCATTTTGCCTTAAGGTACAGCAGTAACAGTTGTGAAGGTTTTTTTGTTAAATAAATTGATGACTGGATTCACATGGTTAAAGCAGCTCTCATGTATTTAATGCTGGAACAATTGTCAGAGATTTCTACAAGTTGCCCTGCATGCTGTTGCTATTCTCTTTAGGACAAACCCCGCTCACCTTAACTAGAATACGCTTTATAGTCTTTTCAGAAGTCATTGAATATGCCTGAAACTCAATTCTTATCGGTTTGGTAATCTCTGAATGAGACCATGAAACAACAGACCTATTCTGTACTATTCAAAACAACATATAGAGGTTCAAAGCTCAGGAACACTTAGTGTGAAGCTACCAACCAAAACCAATCTTGGAGCACTTCAACTAGGAAAATGATCTGCATTAGTTTACACCAATACAGAATATACAAAGTAACACAAAGCAACACAAAACAACTTCAAGGATTATTAAGCATTACTAGAGTTAATTGAGAAAGGGACAAAAGTTTAACTGATCTTAGTTTCATGATTGGTTTAGTAGTATGTCATTCTCACAGCTTCTACGACACAACTGTACTACAACCATGTTTCTGTATTGATATTCATCAGATCAGAAACAGACAATTTGATTTTGACCTGCAACATTAAAATACCGGCTTATAAAAGAGCAGCAGCTCCTAGATTTCCCCCTTCTTTGTTTCAAAGCAACTTGGAAAGCTGCATTGAAATACTGTTCAGTGGTTATAGCTGCAAGCTCAAGCTGAAATTCTATCATTGTAGGAGCTGTGCTAGCCTGTTGCAAGATGCAAGTAGTGCCAGAAGTCACTATCGGCACTCCAAGCACATGCACTGGATAGGATTTTTTGAGTTACAAGTGTTCCAGAGTCTGGCAGTCATTCAGAGAGCGTTTCCCTAGGATAAACTATTTAGTGTTCCTACTGCAGGAAGACAATGAAAGGTCTCTGTAACCAGAAAATTCTGGTGAACGCTACAGCAAGGAATCCAGGAAGATCAAAGTTCACTGCTGCATGACAGTAATAAAGCGTATATTATTTTGGAATATTTGTGATTACAATTTAAGGTTAATAGGGTGAGTTTCACTATCAGAGTGAAAGGCTAAACAGCTCTGATTGTGCTATAGCAGTACAGTAGCCACACACGACTGAATAGAAATGCACTGGAACATGTTTTAGTAGTTGTCAATTCCAAACATTTAATAGAACACAGGTTCATTAGAGCAAGTCTGGAACCAAGGTATTTTAGATCATTAAAGAAAAACCAAAACCTTGATGCACTTCTTTTGCTTAGGCCAGGCATGAAAACCAGGTATCATAGCAACCAGACATGAAATCGTTCCCACAAAAATACTGAATTTCCACAGTATTTTCTTTCAATATCTTTAGTGAATTTTGTAGAACTCTACACGAGACAGTACTTAATGCAATATACAGAATAACAGATCAGCTTTAATTTTTTTTTAAACTTCTCCCTCCCTGTTTAATCCTCCTGGTCACTTTGTAATTACTGGACAGTCATCCTTTCCACATTAACTCTTCCATGTGGAAAGCAGAATTTAAGAATGGTCAGCACTGCACCCCTTTCAGGATACAATGACTGGAGTAACTGGACACAAGTCCAAGAAGCATTCTACATACAATATATACATGGATAGCACATTCTGCAGCTTACTGAGGCTGGGACAACATAGACATTCAGGGAAGAACTGCAGTACCAGTGACTAACTCAGAGCTTCCTATGTTAGAATGCCTGAAAAAAAAAAATTTCAAACATTCAAGTCATCACAATAAATATCCACTGATGGGATTATTAGCATGTGTGATTTGCCTATTTTGGGTTCCAACACATAGATTCTCTTGAACATTCTGCAAAACAGTTACTTTCATGGCATCATAGTTTGATATTAACGTACCAGGAGGAACAGCAATCAAAAGAGTTTTCATACAAAAAGCACATATAAGTGAAAGTCCATGAGAAGGCAGCACATGCTCTGTAGTATTTGAGAGCTGTGACCCCACAGATATCGATGCTCTTTCACCTTATTTCAAAGTGCTCAAAAGGGATCACATAGCGGAGAAGGCCCAGATCAGTGCCAAATTCCAAGAGAGACTTGGAATCCTAACACTTGGCCTTTGAGAAACTATTCCCAGGCACTTCAGTCCCTTAATGCATCTGTCATACTTGCCCACCCCAGCAGCAGAACAAGATAATAAGGGAATTAATCTTCTACTAACTTGTACATTTCAGTTACCATCTCATCTGAACTCCTGTGAATAGATGTTTATAATTCAAATTTCTGAGAACACTGAGGTCATGAAATTGCTTGGTATGCACCCCCCTGTTCACCCTAGTTTAGAAGCATGCATACTGCCTGGATCATTTTTAAATCTGGGACAGTTAACTCTGTTCTGGAAGAGTTTGCAAGTTAACTAACTGTATAAAAATACAGTATAGCTGTAATATTGCTCTGAAAAGCACTTTTGCAAACTTTTTCTGTACAGACTGGTAATAACATTACCAGATAATATAATACATATTTAAAATAAAAAAGAACTCTTTTAATAAGTCTGAACACTAAAGTCTAAATAACTTGTTTAAAACAAAACAGTGTGATCCAGGAAAATTTTGCTTGCATGGTTAAATTATAGCAGCATGGTTACTGGCTTTTCGAGGAAATTCTTGAACTCAGCAAGCCACTGTGCTCCAACTGCTCCATCTACAACACGATGATCACAGCTAAGTGTAACAGACATCACACTGGCCACATCAAATCTGAAAGAAGAAAAAAAAAAAGTTTAACACAATCCTCTGCAAGTCAGCGCCACTAATAAAGCAAAAGAAACTTTTATCAGAGAACTAGCAATAGCATTTGGTGCTTGGTAACAGATGTTTCTCCCTGTGGACTTCTAAAGAAGATTACATTGGAGAGCAGATTATATTCATTCATTTCCTAAAATTATGAAACACATTTGTGTGTTCCCTTTAGGACATGAAGCTCATCTTTCTTTGTATCACAAGAATAGCCCCACACAATCAACTAAAAGAGCCACTTTACCCAGTAACCTCCAGTTTCCCCATGTGCCAGTCACAGATACTTAGGACTGTTAACAAGTTTAAATAATCCTAAACATGGGTCTATGGCAGCTCCAAGCAAGGCAATAGTATATAAAGGACAGTCAGTTATAATCCATCCCTTAGGTTTTCCTTAAAGAGGAACAGGTACCTAAACTGTTGTGGATCCCAGACTTTTTTCCCCTCCAGCGTAACCCTCCCCCTCTTAATAAAGAAACAGCCTTTCCTTAACTTGCAAAGAAGTTGCAGGAATAAATGTATGGCAGATCATTCATCACTCACTGTATTTCTCTTTAACGCCTGTATAACCCTTTTATACAAGATCTCACTGCACTTCTTCAGAAGGTACTGAAAGCAGTATGTCAACAATTAATTTTATTTTAAAAGAAATTATAATCTAATGGGAGTGTTAGAAACTAGCCATTATTTCAAAGTCTGAATTCAGAAGCTCAGTATACACAGAATCAACTTACCCTTTCTCATTATCAGCTGGCACTAGCCTTTTCTCTGAGGAACCAACTGCAAGGATGCAGGCTTGAGGTGGATTGATTATGGCAGAGAAATTCTTAATCCCATACATTCCTAAATTGGAAATTGTGAAAGTACCACCCTAGAAGAAAAACACATTCACAGTAAAATTCACAAAGGCTGTTTCATGTAGAATATTAATGAACATGGCTGAAACGTTGCAAATAGGCTTTGCTCATTCTGAATGGGACTTCTGAACAAGGCAGCAATGATTAACAGTAATCCAAGTTTCTCACCTGGAATTCATGAGGCTGTAGTTTACCTTCTCGGGCTTTAGTTGCCAAAGAAACCACATCCTTACTAATGGAAGCCAGGCCCTTTATATGTGCATTAAACACAATAGGGGTTATAAGCCCTGCAGGAGTACTAACTGCAACGCTAACATCCACTACGTGATTTCTGCAAGACACAAAGGAGATGCCAGTTATGCTAGCAAGATAACAAAAAAATTTCCAGAACTGTTCAGAAAACTCCAAATTAATATTAATTTTGCAACAATTATTTCACCTTGCACACTGGCCTCAGACACAAGGTTCTTAGCACTTTTTAACAAAAGCCCTTCTTCAACCTTTGCATTATACCTGTTCCCCTCCCTCCTCAAAATCCCAGCAGAAGGTCTGCTATTTTGTTGTGAACTCTCTACTGAATAAAGAAAGTTTCTGGCTTCGACCGTACCATAAACTTACTGCCTAATAACTGTGTCCATCCATGAAGAATTTGCCTCGGGCACCTTCAAGCATGCCAGAGCAGAAGCTTTAATTATGAAGTCATTGACAGAAAGCTTAATGTTATCCGAGACCTCCTGGAAATAAAGAGATTTGAGGCATCAGTTTGTCTCTCGTATATTAACTCAGTTAACTTGGATAGTCACTGCCATGCAGCCTTGTTTAGCAAAAATGTTAGAAAAAGAATCACACTACTTGTAAGCATTAATATTTGAAGTGCCACGATAGTTTAGGAGGTGAATACGTTTCCTTCATAATTTAAGAAGGTACCTTTTTTAATGTCTATTTTTCCCTAAAATTGGCTTAGAATTATTATTTTGCTTAAATTTTCTATCCTTTTTACTCTTAAAAACCTTTTGTCCTACTTTCCAGGTGGAAGAATTGAACACCAAGCAGAGTACAAAGCAGCCCTCTTAGGGAAGTCAGAAATCAGTGCACAATACCTAGGTTAATAGTCTCATTCTGTCACACAAAGTCCAGAACCAATCCACAACAGGTAGAAAAGGCACTGAAAAGACTATTTTGTCCAAGGCAAAATGGCCTATCACCAAAAAGTAGGGTGGGCAAACCTGTGAGAGAATGCAGCTTTCCCCACGCACACACTCTCACCATGCCCAAGTGCTTTACCTGATTGAGTTCTTTCCTTAGCACCAGTACTTCTCCCATGTTTATATCAACAGAAAGGTAGTAGTGAGGTATTGTTTGTTTAGACTGCATCAACCGCTGAGCAATGACCTGCAGGTATACAACAGAAGTGATGAGAATAAATCAATTTGGAAAATTCATGACTGCAAATAACGATATCAGAAAGGAGTAAAATCTTCTTACCCTCCGAATATTGCTGATAGGGATATCTGTGAAGGTCCCCACTGGTGCTGCTGCAACTACAGCAGCTGCAGGAACTGCCTCTAGTGATGGCATCTGCAGAGAAAGACAGCATAATTCACAGTACTATCCAAATACCAATCGTACAAAGTAATTCAGTACATGGGACAAGTGCTAAGGCTAAGTTGCCTCTTGCTTCAGAGCAGTAGATATTTCTACTCTCTAGCCTCACTTCTCCACTACCCACTAGGTTTTTTTATAAGCCCTATATTCAGTGTAGTACTTTGAAAATGTAGTACTTGAGAGATTTAGAAATGCAACACTGACCTGCACTGCTACAAAGCTCCCAGAATAGTAAGTCCTGCTAGATGTTTGGTTTACATACAGCAGAGAGGTATGCTAGAGGGCACTCTCAGACTGCACTTGGCAACATGCCTTCCAGCAGTTCACAAAGCAACGCTTCCATTATCTCACATAAAACATAAGCAGTGGTATAAGAACAGATTTGAGGCAACAATAACAGCAGATTGTTGGTTCATAAGTCTGGCTTTCATTATAGTTATCACAGAATCATAGAATCATTAAGGTTGGAAAAGACCTTTAAGATCATCAAGTCCAACCACCAACCCAACACCATCATGCCCACTAAACCATATCCTGAAGTACGACGTCTACATGTTTTTTGAACACTTCCAGAGATGGTGATTCCACCACTTCCCTGGGCAGCCTGTTCCAGTGTTTGACCACTCTCTCAGTAAAAAAATTTTTCCTGATATCTCATCTAAACCTCCCCTGGCGCAACTTGAGGCCATTTACTCGTTCTATTGCTAGTTACTTGGGAGAAGAGACCAACACCCACGTCGCCACAACCCCCAGTTGCAGAAGGTGATAAGGTCTCCCTTCAGCCTCCTGTTCTCCAGACTGAACAACTCCAGTTTCCTCAGCTGCTCCTTGTAAGAATTGTTCTCCAGACCCCTCACCAGCT